GGGGGTAACATAAAATGTAAAAAATTTTTTTTTATTATTATTATATTTATTTTATTTTAATTTAAAAAACTGTTGTTTTTTTTTTCCACTTTACTTTGACTGCTATCACATAGGGGGGCTTACAAGCTCCCCCCCCCCATGTGATAGCAGATGGTGGTGACAGGTCCTCTTTAAGGTGATGCTGGGGGTCCAAAAGACCCCCAGTGTCACCTTTACACTGGAAATAAGCTATTGAAGTGCAGATCGCACTTCAATAGCTTATCACTGGGCTGCCGGAGCCCAGAACTGACAGCCCAGGGAATGCATCGCTCCCAGGCCCATAGAACGGGGAGGGGATCGATGAACGGAAGTTTGTCGACCTTCTCCCCAGCTCCCCGCGGACACCAACGAAGCCGGTCCCGGGCCCATAGGAGGGGCAACGGAGCCCGGGAAGCACGGTGGGGGTGTCGGGCACTGTACGTCGTCAGTCACGAAGGGGTTAAACCTTTTTTTTCTCCACTTTTTTTCTCTAAGTCCACCTTTAAAATATTAACCCCTTCATGACTGAGGCCTTTTTTTTTTTTTGCACCCATGTTATATTCCACATTTTTGGCCTGAAAATTACTTAAAAACCCCCAAACATGATTTTATGAAAGCCAAGACCCTATAGAATAAAATGGCGGCAGTTGCAAATTTTTATGTTGCACGATATTAGCACAACTCCTTATCAAACCCCAAAATGTATTGAAAAATGTACTTAAATGCCCCAAAACACAATAAAATGGTGGTGACAGGTACTCTATAAGGTGATGCTGGAGGGTCCAAAAGACCCCCAGTGTCACCTTTACACTCGAAATAAGCTATTGGGGTGCAGATCGCACTTCAATAGCTTATAGCTGGGCTGCAGGAGCCGAGCACTGACAGCCCAGGGACCGGAAGTGATGCAATCTGCATCGCTCCGAGTCCCATAGAACGGGGAGGGGAAGCGGTGAACGGAGGTTCGTCCATCTCCTCCCCAGCTTCCCGCCGACACCAAAGAAGCTGGTCCCGGGCCCGTAGGTGGGTCAACGGAGCCCGGGAAACACCAAGGCGGGGGGGGGAGCCAAGCACTGACAGCTATGGGACCGGAAGTGATGCAATCTGCATCGCTCCGAGTCCCATAGAACGGGGAGGGGAAGCGGTGAACGGAGGTTCGTCCATCTCCTCCCCAGCTTCCCGCCGACACCAAAGAAGCCAGCCCCGGACCCGTAGGAGGGGCAACGGAGCCCGGGAAACACCGCGGAGGTGTCGGGCGGGCAGGGACCCCTTCATGGGCCCGTAGAAGCGATCTGGTGACAGCTGAGTCACCAGAATCGCTTCTACTGTAAAGCCGACAGTCGGCTTTACAAGTTTAAACGGCCCCGATGCCAGCGTTGTACACTGTACGTCGTTGGTGGGGAAGGGGTTAAAAAAATGTTAAACGCTGACATCAGATTTTGGTCACCAGGTTTACGTGTACCCATTAAAAATCAAAACAAATAGACACGGAACATAGGCAGAAAAAGAACATTTTACTAGAAATTTGCATATTGTAACATGACACACAGTACACACCAACTGGTTTCCCAAGCGGCTTCGAAAGTACGGTGCAAATAAAAAAAGTTTAACTCAACAGAATATACAAAAACCCAAAAAGACTCTACAGTGTTGGAATGGTCCCATCACCGGCTTCTGAGCACATTAGAGGCGTACATAGCCGGTTATTGTCCGTAAGACGTCCTCGGCCAACGTAATGACCTCCTCCTCTTTGTCAGATGCAAAGCTGTCATTGGGAATTTTAGGCGGCGAGTGGCAGCTGGGGTACTGAGTGCCTCGGTTGTCTACGCCGAGGGCTTTCATTTTGGCCACCGTAGGGTAAATTTGGTGTAGGCCGCTACTGTATTTGGCCACCTGGCGCGCTAGTTGGAGGATGTCCTCATCCTTGTCGATTTTTCCTTTCTTGATATACTGTGCGGCAAATAGCGCCTTCTCTACAGCTTGGTGTACCTTGTAGAACACCCATTCCGTGCACCGGCCGGCGTCATTTTCTGTGGCTTTCAAGTCACATTCCGCTTGCCTCATCCATCTTTCAGCCTCCTGAGGTTTTGGCCGCTGGGTTCCCGTGTGATAGCCCCAGAAATTGTAATCGCATCTAGTTGACCTCGAAAAGCGTTCGCGGTTCTGTCTGTGGTGGGATGCCTCTCTATCCCACTTGCCCCAACATCCAGAAAAGCCTCCATGAAAGCTGGAATGACCGGAATGATTGTTGGCTGTTGCATGGTTACCTGTTCTCCCACCGGATTCCAGTTCTTTGACTTTTTGCTGAAGATATTTAAAAATCTCCGTGGAGAGGACCTCTTGGCCGATGTTTTTGTCTGGGTGGTACTTTAAGTAAAGCCGTCTTATAGCCTTTATCTTCTGATCTTGAGGTAGCTGCCATATTGTGCTTAACTGCAGGTCAATTTCCGCTTTAATTTTGTCCGCGGAGCTTTCAAACCATTTGTCGGAATATTCTTGGGTTGGTGGGTTGTTAAGGGGGACAAGAGCTTTCGAATTATTGCCTGAAAGTCTTTTGAAATGATATAAGTCAAGCACGCTGACGTCAATCATCTCTTCTTGACCAATGTCTATGCGATACCTAGGAAGTTCGCAGGTTCCGAACACGTCGGCATCCAGTTCCTCAACAATTCTAGCATACAGATAGGCCTCATCTTCTCCAGGGACCATGTAGCCCACGTAGTCACCGACCATGAATGCGTTTTGGACACTCATGTCCAAGCAATCGTGCCATTCACAGGGAATGCTCTCTCCAGGTTTTGGCAAAGTGAAGGCATTTTTGGTTTCAAGCTTCTTGGTCCACACGCCATGTTCTTTTAGCACTTCAAGCATCTCCCCAGGCTCAGAGCAGGCAAGCATTTGTAGAATAATGCCAAGTGAACTATCCCTCAACACATTTCCTATCAGTTTATTAATTTCGCTTGAAAGAGAATGCAACACCCACACAAACTTTCGGCTTTTGGCCAGGTCACTGTGATTAAGATAAATCTGACAGCACATGTCAACATATCTTACACAAACTGCTTTTTTGGATGTCGTGCCCTTTAAAGTGGAGTTTTCATATATGAGACTCGTTTGTAACATGGAGCAGCATTTGATTTGTATTTTTCCAAAGATAGCGCTGCAAGTTTCTTCTGCTTCTTCCCGGGTAACTTTACCATTGCTCTGCTTGCACAGGAGGCAAACCAGACCCTCACAAAATATCGGTGAGATGAGAAGTTCTGTGAAATTTAATTTAATTGCGCAGTGTTCACCAAGTTCACATTCCTTGAAATTATCGATAGACTCTTCTGTTATCTCAGAAAGCAATTTTGGGCGAATAGCCACAGGTAGTAGTGAGAGGAGACGTTTCATTGTGTATTGGTCTATATCTGTGTAGAGGAACCTAAATATACTGCCCAGTTTCAGCAATGACATATAAGATCTACAGTCGTTTAGAATCAGGTCAGATGACTCATAGAGTTTGCCTTTTAGATCTGGGAGGTAAAGTGGCCCAAGCTTTTCAAGATCTTTCGGAGTTGCATTTTCCAGGAGCTTAAAAAACTGATGCATGGTCTCGGAGACAGTTTTTATGAGATTAGCGTGCAAAGACTCTTTGTCCAGCGTCTCCTCATAAATTGCTGAAAGAACCTTGGTAAAGTGGATTAGAGAGGCCTCTGCCTGAACTCCAACCTTTTGGAAGAGATTGCTATAGCATGCTAGCAACGGAGGCAATTTGTAAAGATATGGCCGAAAGGAACTGGAATTTTGAAGATTAAATACAATTTGTCTTGCTTCGGCAAGCACGGTATCATTGTCTACTAAAATGAATGGAACGTTTTCAAAGGAATCGCTGTCCACTTCGTCAACGTGGTCCTGAAAAAACGTGTACGCTAATTTTAAGACATGAGCCCGGCTATTGAAATGCTTTCTGTCGCATTGAGCACCACAAATGTTTTTCACGTTCTCGATGACCTTCTGAACAGGCGGCTTAAGATGTACCCCACACTTCTCCAAAAACTCCTGTTTTTTCTTCCCGGTTACACACTTGTCTATTAGAGTCATGGATGTCCAAACCAAATATTGGCTGTTGTTCCTCTCCATTAGTGATCCTTTGAGAGCTACCGTCAGGTGTTTCCCAACAAATGAAGGGTGCAAAGCTTTCAACTCTCCTTTTACATCTGAAGGCATGACAAATGCAATTTTTCCCACCGCTGAGGGAAAATTGGCACTTAGTTTATCCACATTCATAGAGAGCAAGTAATCAAATAACTGTTTAGCTTTGTTAGGCAGGGATTCTGAGGGGACCCTACGTTTTGATTCTTTTTCTACTTGGGTTGCAAATCTGATGACTTCATCTTCTGTAAGGGATTTTTTTATTCCAAGTTCGAGCAAAAGAGTTTCCAAGTATAGTTTAAACCTTTCAAACTTTGTCCATAAATCATCCGGGATAAAATATTCCTGTAGGCCAAATGTAGAGAAGAGTTTTACAGAATGGTCATAGAAGTAGGAGACCTGTTCCAGTGCTCCCCGCTTGCTTTTGATCAGTTTGACATGTCTAAGAGAAGAGTAAATGTCCTCTTTTTTATTATGGAACTCTCGAGAGGTCTGCAGTGACAAAACCAACTCTAGAACTCCTAGTAACTGATTTTCACTGAGGTGCTGCACATGAAGAAGAAGGAATTCGGTAAGCAACTGAAGTGTATCGATTATTGGAATGTTTAATAATTTGGCAGCTTGTTTGTTGACGGAACTATTTTTAAGGAACACAGTCTGCGAACTGATTTCTGAAAGCTTAAGATATTCTGAACTGAACTCAGAGTCAAGAACAAAAATCTTTTGGAATCCATTCAGACTTTGTCTTTTGCCGTCACTGGTTTCAAACAAAGGTAGACAATAAAGATTGTTTATGTTTTTCTGCTTTTTTTGTGATTGAAGTTGTGATAAGATCTTGATCAGGAAAATGTCCAGATCCCAGTTTTGGTTTAACTCCCAGTTAACATCACTTCTTGAACTCAGGTGTTCAAGAACATTCTCAACATTTTCTGGGTCGAGCAGATGAGGCAACAAGAAATCAATGGTGTTATAGGGAAAGAAGGACAATTCTAATTTAGGGAATCCCAATTTAAGCAGAAATTCAGCAACATCACTGCCACGTGGATAGATCACATCTTTGGTGTGAGCAAAAGAAATAATACTTTTTGGTTTCTGTTTAAAACATACCGGCACAATTGCCCAGTGTTTGTAAGCAGAAACAATAGTCTCAAAATGTCCTTGCCTTGAATCATGCTGTTGCTCGTCTATTTGGCTTTGAAAGAATTCCCATAGTTTTTTTAGCCAGGTTTCTTTCTCCTCGGACAGTGTAAGGCCACACTTGCTATTTGAAGAAGACAAGTCATGCAATGGCCCCAAGTGGTTCTTAACAAAAATGACAGAATTCGCAATAGTTAGGGATTTCAAAAAGCCATGTTCCTTTAAAAGCGGGTAATTGTATTCAGCAAACTGGTTTCTTTCTTCTGGGAAAAGCTCAGAGAATCTTAATAAAAATTTTGGATCATTTCTGTCAAAGGTGCGGAGCATTTTATCCATAGTCACTAGTAGAGGAACTCCCTGCACATCAATGGCTTTTTTTGTTGGACAGTTTATCAAGCAGTACTTCAACAGCCCTTTGCAGCTTTCCAGATTTCGAAGAAGAGACATGGAGACAGGAGCAGGAAGTACTTGTCCGTGAGGAAGTAGCTGACAATGCCTCAAGAAGTCGCACAAGGTCTGAGGACTCAATTTATATACAGGTACACCAGCGTCTTTCAGTTCTTTGCATAGAAAGTTAATTGTCCCTCCAAATGCTAAATGCATGTTAATATTTTGGAGTATATAACCAATGTCTTTATGATCTGCTTCAGATAGAAAGATGGGCTCTTCTGCAATGGTGAGTTTTCCAATACTTGACCACTCAACGGAAACTCTCTTTTTGCTTCCATACTTTTCTCTCACTTCATACACCTTGTAAATTGGAATCACTTGTGCTTTCCTTTTGAAAATAGTTAAGTAAACTTCCTTAACTAAAGTTTGCCACTGAGGTGGCACAGATTTTGTCACAGTTGGAAAGTCTTTTAAGTATCTATCCAAGAAACAGCAGGAGTCAACACTTTGAAAAATGAGCGGTTCCCTTTTATGCTTTGCAAATATTTTGCACAAGCTCTCCAGAAGGCTGCAGTAAAGTGGAGCTACAATGTTTGATAACAAAAACGCGTTCCACTCAGTCTTTGGGCTATCACCATCCTCTTTGCAGATGCCTCTCCTTGCTGAATCCACAATAAAATTTGCATTGACATGTACAGGGAGACCAGTTTCTAGAGGGAGAGGCAAGGTGCAGAAAGCTCTACCCTCAATTTCAAGGTCTAGTTGGGCTGCTACAGCACCGTGGGGAATCATTGTTTGATGTAAACGACCAGAAATTCTCTTTAGGGTGTCCATGCTTTCTGTACCCACCTGCTTGGCTACAAGCCAATTGGCTACCCTACTTGATGAATTTTTAGCTATTTGCACTCTGTAACACACTTGGGATGGCATGGTCTGAGACAAATCCACAGAGTTCCCAGCCAACTCGGACAGTTTTTGGTGAAAAGAAGACAACATTTCTTCATCCCTGTCATTTACTTTAGATTGAATTGAAAGGATCTCTTTAATTTGCCCATCAGTTGTAATTTCAGAAAAACTTATTTGTCTAATGTTACTCAAGAACAGAATCATGTTGTCAGCATCCTTCTGTAGTTCCTCGCACATACTTTTAATGTCCTCCAGTGATGAAGTTTGGTCACTGATTTTAGACCTCAACACCGTGTCTGCTGACCTCAGTGGTAGACGGAATAGAGTGCCCTCTTCCAGTTTAAAAAACGAAGGCAAGAAAGTATCATAGACATCCCCAAATGTGATCTTGAATTTATTATTCACAACGAACATGCCGCCTGGACTGGAATCATTTGCAGTGTCCAAAAACATGAGATTAGGGTCAAAGACGCAGAAGGAGGTGTCACCTGTCACAAATGATGGACAATCAGTTATGTGGTATACGGAATTAAAGCCGAGCCCAAACTTTCCAGTTTTGTCTAATCGTTCTTCTTTGCCTCCTATTCCCAGCTGCTGAATTCCTTCGATATCCTGATCCTCAAATTTCTTGTTGTTGTATACGCAAAGAGCTGGACCTTGTAACGGATTCCACTGTGGTCCGAAAGTGCTTTGTGTCTGATGAGTTCTGCAGTCCAACACAAAGTGGATTTCAGAAGCTTCCGAATCATCTGCATTCTGAATGAGTTCCTTCAAAATATCTTTCTTTGACGAGTACTCCTTTATTATGTTCTTGATACGGGTGGTAAGCTGCTCCTTGGCACCAAATTGCAAGACCCACTTGGACAGACCGGAGATTTTCAATTTATTAAGGGTTTGGTGAATTTTGGTTTTGACCCCCAGCGTTGATACCACGGCACGAGGAACCATCTCATGGCAAAAATTTAGGTCTTCGTCATAGGGCAGCCAGGGAGTATCATAGTAAAAGATTTCATCCGCGGGACGCAATATACTTTCCCTGTCCGGTATAAAAACAAGCTGTGCGTCTATTGGATTATCTGCATTTAGCATTGTCAGTTTTTCCAAGCTGTTGTTGATTAAGTGTAATGCCAGTTTGAATTCATTTGCTGAAAGGGGCGTTTCTCTGTTCTTCAAAGCCATCTGTTTCAAAACAGAGAAGTAATCTTCGGTGGAAAATTCATCACGTAGTCCGACGCAAGCCCAGAGTTTATCAAAGGCTTCGTAAACTTTCGGAAGTTTATGCAAATAAGGAAGCGCATCAAAAGGGATCTTCTTTGCAACCACGTTCAGCGGGACAAATTCCTCATCAGCATAGACAAAGGGCATGCTAGAGGCTTTCTCCTTTATTTGGGCAGCATGATCCGGCTGTTTTGGGATCTCTGCATTCAAAAACTTGTAGCATCTTTTAGCAACCTCAGACATTTCTTCCTGGTTTAACAGGTTTGGTGCTTTGCAAGCTTCCTCCAGTTGAGATAAGACAATCGGGAAGGAGGGAGGCTGATGAAGGCCCAAGAAGGACAGCAATGGCTCGGACAGTTTGACATTTCCCAAATGTTCTTTGCTGAGCACTGGTTTCACCAGGCAGACAAGTGCTTTGTGCTGGTAATGATAAATTCCTTTTGAGTTCATTACGGTCAGATTTTCTGAGGAGGCACAATTATTTAGAGCTGGTATTACAGGAAGAAATATGGCGTCCCTCAGTTCTCCACAATGGGCAGCCTCAGGTTCTTGTTGCAGTAGGTCATTCAACAATTCCAAAATGCAGCAGATTTGTTTCAGCGCTTTGGTCCTGTCAAGACTCCAGATATCTTTTATCCTACCGGCTCTTGCCATGAGTTCTGCAATGGGCAATCTGTCCTTCAACATCCCTAAGGTCTGTAAACGTGCCAGTCTTTCCGGTTTAAGAAATTCATCTCCTGCAGGAAAACACCCTTCTTCAGGATCATACAGTACTGACGCTTTTCCCATTGGGTGGATTAGTTTTTTGATGAGCTGCAACTTCCCGTTGGATGATGGAATGCAAGGTTTGGATTTCAGTATGCTGTCCAGCTTTTTATTTTGTAGATCAATGGCATAAAGCACTAACTTATCTCTGTCTTTTGCATGTATGGCATCCAGATTTTCAAGGAGGATCTCGCTGTAGAACCTTTCAGTGTTGTAAAAATTCTTCTGAAGCTCCACGAGGCATCCGCACGCGCTGAAACTTTCTCTCACCCACTGTGGGAGGATTACTGCCAAATAGGGTTTTTCCAGAACGGAGGAAAACACCATCTTGGCAAGACTTTCAATGGCTTTGTTTTGGAAGCCTTCTAGTTCGAGAAAGCAGGCGTGTTTTATGGTGCACCATTCCTGGCCGTTGCTAAAGAGAGCGGGCAGTAAATTCCCAAACCCAAAGGTTATTGCCTGGTAGAAGCTTTTCACAGCGCCTGTGAAGAATGTGTTGACTTTACCGATGTCTGGCCAGAACGTGTAGTAGCAGTAGTCCTGCAAGTCCCCATTTTGATGTAGTATTTGCAACTGGGAGAGCGCAGTGATAACAGCGGCCAGTAAAGCATCAGAGAGCAGCTTCTTATTCCAGTCACCCTTGACAGTGGTGTCCCACAGGCTTTTCCGATTGGACATGACAGCAAAACTTGCATTTATGTGGAAAGGAAGTCCAGAGGACACGGGGAGAGGGAGGAAACAGAACACCATCCCCTTGAAGTCTTCTAAATCTGGCGACCATTTTCCGCTGCTGTGATTTTTCTTCAGAGGAATGGCAAGTCCTGAAATCGGATAAGAAAAGATATTTGCATCTTGCTTGAACATCTGGAATGAGTCTTTGACTCCGAGGCTTGATTGTACTAGGTAGTATTTGTCATCATCTGCCACTGCTTTCCGTACACATATTTTGATGATTTTGGATGTGGTGATATCGGAGGTTTCCATGGGTAGGTTTAGAATTTTAGAGGCGTTTATTTGCTCCTTTTGTAAGAGAACAGTTGGAGGCACAGTTAGACTTTCAAGGACTTCTTTCCGAAGGTGCACTTTGGTTAACTGATCTTCAGGCTTAGCTCCATTGTCTAGACAATTTAATTCCACTTCTTTGACATTCTTTATGAAAATGAGGAGAATATCGGCAAAGTTCTCGAAATCACTCACGAGCATGTTGATCTCTTCCTCGTCGAATGCTTTCTGACAGATCTTTGATTTGTTTGCTTCTTCTTCGGTCCTGAATGGTAAGCGAATGAGAGTCCCATCAAAGTCAAAGGGTTGGGCAAAGCTGCAATTGAACACGCCAATGAAAGGCTGGAACTGGCCAGGAAAAGTACGAAGGGGTTCTGGATTCTTTTGGAGATCCAACTTCATTCCTGGGTTATTGCTCGGAATGTGTTTCTGCAAGTGATTCACATTCGGGTCAAATATGATTATAGTGGATCTGCTCATAATTGCCGGCACATCGGTAATGTGGTACACGGTATTAAAACCCAAGCCGAATTTTCCGATCTTTTGCGCCTGAGTTTCCTTAGTGGCTGCTCCAATGCGGGTAATGTTGACGAAATCCTTATCTGTGAATTTCCTATTGTTATAAGACCACAGCGCCGGCCCATGAGAGCTGGCCATGCCGGGATCTATTAGGGTTTGTCGAGAGTCCAAATTTTCTCTCCTGTCCACTAAGAATTTGCAAACCGTTGCGTCTGCATCATCCGCATTCTGTAAAAACTCTTTAAAAACTTCAGAGTGCTCGCTGTATTCTCGAAGGATGTTTTTAATGCGAAGAGTCACTGGTTCAATGGGGCCCCAGGGTTCGAAGAACTCTGGCTTCAAGACCTTGGTGCTCAGAAGTTGGATGTTGAGGAACTTTGCTGTTGCCATAGAAACCTCATCATGTACAATAAAACAGTTTGTATCAAAGGCACCGGCCAAACTCTGCTTATCAATGTCGCAAAACAGAGTTTTCGACAGTGCCTCCAGACCAAACTCATTGTTTTTGGACTGGACTGGTATAGGAAGGTCATCTGTTCCGTGTACGGAGTTTGTTTTCATCCAGTCCAAGATTAATACTGCAAGCTTCAGGTCTTTGGAAGTGTCAAAGTCAGAACGGGCATCACCCAAGCGCCGTTTTAACACATAGAGTACGTTGACGACGTCTTCGCTTGATAAGGTTTTCTGTACCCCGCACTTGGAGAAGAGATTTTGGTAAGTCAGGTAAGCGGGTGGGACTTTTTTAGTGAAGGAGCTTAAATCCAAACCTTCGGGATAAGCCAGGAAGATTTCATCTGGACGAGAAAAACCATCTCCAGTCCAAACAATGACTTGGGAGAGAAGATTATCGGGAAACAGGTGAAGGTGATCTTGTATATACTTGTAAGTCTTATGAAGTTTCCCTTCAAGAGAGTACGGATCCACCCGAGAATATTTTTCACCGAGGACTTTGAGGCTTTCAATCACTTTTCCGGGAGGCGGTGATTGGCTTAACCCAAGGAAGTCACTTGCCTGTTTTTTAAAGTCATTTGTTAAAGGCATTGCGTGTTCCACTATGTCACAGTAGGTAAAGTCCCGAAGGTTTTCCGGTTTGCCAAAAGCCATGGGTGAATCGTGAATTTTAGACGGCACCCAGGAAAGGCTGCGGAGCCTCTTCAAGTTCTGTGGAGTAAACTGAGCTAAAACCGTCGTTTCATTGCAAACCCTTATGAGCGCTTGGGCCTTTCTTGGGGAGGACATGTGGCCCGCATTGCGACTTAAGGTCTCGGCAATCTGTAAAACATCATCAGCTGTGATCTTGTGGATAGAGTCCTTCATCCCCAATTGTTTCAGCGATTCTAAAACCAAATCTTCCCGGTAGTTCGAAGGGGGAAATTTGTGTGCTTCAAACAGCTCTTTCAGAATGTCTACGTTGGGATCAAAGAGAGCAGAGGCTTGTTTGAGGCTACCGTTGCAAGGCAGGAAGGAAAGGGTACAGCAGATGTTCTTCAGCTGGCCATTCTGACTAAACAGCACATGTCCATTTCTCAAAATCCACAACATTGCCCTCTCAATTTCGGCTGGGTGAGCACTGTAGGTGCCGTTTGGGACGGCTTTTGCTATTAGTAAAGCCATATCTGTGGCACCGAGCAGTCCGATTTGCATTAGTTGGAGAAGCCTCCGGTCTGACGCATCTCTGCATTTTATTACCACATCCGGGAACATCAGGCTGTCCGGGACAGCTGGGAACGCGTCATTGGCTACTGCTGCTAAGTGTCCGGCCGCCACCAGTTTGGAGGATGGGGCAGTGACACAAGGGGCACTGCAGAAAATTGGCAGTTTGTGTAAAATTTGCAGTTCTGAAGATGTTAAGGAGTAGGCTTGGGAAAGGACTTCACAAAACAGCTTGATGTGCGCCTTGGGGGCATTTGTCAATGCTTTTGTAATCTGACTCGAATTTAAATGTCCCAAAGTTCTCAGAATATTATTTGGCGTCGGCGCTAAAAGGTACACGTCCAGGTTTTTGTGCCACAACCAAGAGTTCTTGTCCCGTATGATGGTGCAGCCGGCTTTCTCCAGTATCTTAGAGGTGCAGTCAGCCAAGACGGTCCTGTCTTGGCTCTGTAGAAGCAAAGTTGTTTTCTTTTTCAGCCGCGCGAGTTTGACGTTCGAGGAGCTGTCGGTCACTGGATTTATTGGCACGATCGGATGGTCTTCGAAGAGATCCAGAGTGGGATACCGTTGGAGGAAGGTCCAGAGGCTGGTTATCCATCGTACTGGCGGACTGTCCCGTTCTTGTGGGTTCCAGGTGACTAGGTCAGGATGATCTCTCCACCTCTGAGGAAGAGCTTCGTGTAGTCTTCTGAGAACCAACTCCTCGTTTAGGTACGCAAGATTCCGGAATGTTTCTAAAGAGGAAAAAAAATAGGGAAGGTAAGTATATGTTGCTCGTGGAACACAGGGGATTAAAAAAACAAAAACCACTTCTATACCCTCACTGGGTTTGCTTTAAAGTAGGGATGCACCGATACAGTATTGATACTAGTATCGATATCGGTGCCGATACCGAGTATTTGGCGAGTACTCATACTCTCCCAAATGTTCCGATGCCTAGCACGAGTACTTCCTGTATCAGTATGATGAGAGAGCATGGTGCCGACTTCCCGGCCAATCGGGAAGCCAGGCGCCGTGTAATGACGCAGCGCCCGGCATTCTGGGGGAAGCCGGCTTCATGCTCCCTCGTCATCTCATGACGAGGGAGCAGGGCGTCCCGGGCCAATCAAAAAGCAGGGCGCCGCGTCATTACACGGCGCCTGGCTTCCATGATTGGCCAGCAAGGCGGCTCCGGCTGGGTACCGGAGGAAGGCTGCTCCTGGCTGTAGAGGCCCCGGGGGTGACAGGCTGGACATGCCGAGGTGAGAGGGGACAGACTTTCATGTTAATCGGGAAGCCGGGCGGTGAGTCATTACACGCCACCTGGCTTCCTGAATGGGACTTCCGGTACTCGGTAATTGGTATCGGCGAGTACCGGAAAAAAATTATCGGTACTCGTATTCGGTAACAAAATACCGGTATCGGTGCATCCCTACTTTAAAGCACATCTGAAGTCAACTACATAAATATGTTGCAGTGTACCGATCCTTAGATGTGATTGTAAGATTTGTTTAATTCTTCAGGCTTTACCCCCCGTATTTTTTCTTCACCCAGGGATCCTACCATTGACACACTTCCTGTCCTAGGGTGACAACGCCTACCATACTGCATCTATACAAGAGCAGTGTTGTCTCCATAGGAGGGGACTGCAGAGCACCCCCTTCCAGTGACGTGCCGTGTCTTCTGTGCTGGGTGAGGCATACCCCAGCCCACCAAAGCTCCGTCCCCGTCCCGCCGAAGCTTCGCCCCTGTCCCGACGAAGCCCTGCTCCCAGCTCGGTAACCAAGCTGTGTGTGGGGGGTGGGGGAGGAGACAGGGAGGAGTCTCCCTGTCCCTCACTTGTTCGTCACTGGTGAGGCATCGAGATCAATGTGCTCACCGTTTTGTTTCTGATTGGACAGCTTGGACCAATGGCGCTTTGCAGTTGGTCCAAGCCATCCACAGAGCTCAAGCCTCTAACACAGAGTAGAGGCTGTGACATCTCTTGCCTCACCAAGTTAGGTTACACAAGCAGTAGGGAATCCCGCTGCTGTGTAACCTAACTACCTGTCAAAAGCCGGATGCAGCGCTGCCTGTAATTAACATCCAGCGCTCCGTCCATGACAGGTTACAGACAGGGCAGCCATCAGGGGGGTATGGCCGATACTCATGTAAGGGGCCCGGGCAGCCTGGGAGGCCCTTTACATGAATTTCGGTCGATGGTGAAGGGCGAGGAGGCGGAGGCCTGGCCCTAGCAGCACAGGGCCCCAGCATTGACCGCTCCAGCGGCTCTGAGACAAGCTAGGGCCCCATCAGCGACGCTGCTCGTCTGATGTCGGACTGGCCGGAAGTGACGTGACTTCTGGCTGATCCGGCGGCAGACGAGGCCATGTGTGCAGGTAAGAGGAGCTAGGAAGGAAGGAAGGAAAGGAGGGAGGGGAGGGATGCAGCCCTGACCAGCCCACCCGAGACCCTTTCAGAGCCCACCATAGACAGTCTCAAATGGGCTGTGCAGCATCTATGGTGGGCTCTGCAGGGTCACTCTCAGGTGGGTCCTGTGTCCAGCGCGTCACTAAGCCCTGCATGTCAAAAGCCGGATGCAGCGCTGCCTGTAATTAACATCCAGCGCTCCGTCCATGACAGGTTACAGACAGGGCAGCCATCAGGGGGGTATGGCCGATACTCATGTAAGGGGCCCGGGCAGCCTGGGAGGCCCTTTACATGAATTTCGGTCGATGGTGAAGGGCGAGGAGGCGGAGGCCTGGCCCTAGCAGCACAGGGCCCCAGCATTGACCGCTCCAGCGGCTCTGAGACAAGCTAGGGCCCCATCAGCGACGCTGCTCGTCTGATGTCGGACTGGCCGGAAGTGACGTGACTTCTGGCTGATCCGGCGGCAGACGAGGCCATGTGTGCAGGTAAGAGGAGCTAGGAAGGAAGGAAGGAAAGGAGGGAGGGGAGGGATGCAGCCCTGACCAGCCCACCCGAGACCCTTTCAGAGCCCACCATAGACAGTCTCAAATGGGCTGTGCAGCATCTATGGTGGGCTCTGCAGGGTCACTCTCAGGTGGGTCCTGTGTCCAGCGCGTCACTAAGCCCTGCGTCCAGCACGTCACTAAGCCCTGCGTCCAGCACGTCACTAAGCCCTGCGTCCAGCACGTCACTAAGCCCTGCGTCCAGTGGGGGGGGAGGGGGGGGCCCGGCCTAAAGCCGTGTAAGGGGCCCCCAAATTTCTGATGGCTGCCCTGGTTACAGAGCGGGGGAGGATTTCCCTGCTCTGTAACCTGTAACAAGCAACTCGGAATGGAGGAAAAGCTGTCGGCTTCCGACTTGAAGCCGACAGCTTTTCCCTGCATAATACTAGGTGAGGCTCTGCCTCCCCTGACCGCACGCCCCTGCCCCCTTCCTCATCTCTATAAAAGAGTTGGGAGCTGCTCTGTAGTCCTCAGAGAGCTGGGAGCAATGTAACTGATAGGAGCACAGCACCAGCAGACAGCACAGGAAGTAATCAGCAGGCATTTCTATATATAGAATGGTGTATTGAATCTCCCCACATGGAAGCGATTTGCCTGAACGTCCCGTTTCCAGGGCATGCATGTTGTGGTCACGTGCACTGCTCTCCTTAGACTGCAACTCAAAAGAATCCCTGCCCCTGCACATCCCCAATGCGCATGCGTGCTCGGTCTTTTCCTGGTCCCGTGTCACTCAAACCGCTTGCAGGCGGAGCTGTGTGGGCGGGGCAGTAGCGAGTTGGTCATTTGCACATAGCAAAGAGCTTTTACCCAATGGGCACTGGCTGCTTAAGAATGGAGTCCATAGCAGAAACATGGAGAAGAGGGCGGCTACTAGGGATGGTCTCGATGCTCGAGTCCAACAACAGTTCCAGTTGAACATCGGTAGTTCGTGTGTTCGGCTATTCGCCCGCGAAGCCGATTGGGAAGAGCAGTGCACCTGACCACAGGTCAGCTGCAAGACTTTGCCCGAAATCGGCACAGTGCACTGTAAGAGCCATGACTGGGCAAAGTAATGATGACTTTGCCCAATCATGGCTCACGCAGCTAAGTCCTGTCAGGTGCCGGACAAATGTAAACAGTTGGGCGGAGCTAGCGGTGATGTCACCGCTAGCTCCGCCCAATCGTTTATATTTTGCCGGCATCGGTTAGAATGCGGACGGGTCGGCGGGCATCAGGTTTTTTGTTTCTTTATTATTTCTATTAATTTTTTTATTGTTTTATTTTTTATTTCGTCAGGTCATCCGCGTCGTGGACAACGCTGGACGTCGTGATTGACCCTGGATTACGTCGCTAGATCCATTTTTCTTTTTTAATAAAAGACTTGTCAAAATCATGTCTTGTTTTTTTCTTTTTCAATTAAAAGGATTTTTTCCAAAGGGATACCCCGATGTGAATAAGCCCCCTGCCCGCAGACGCCCACAACCAACACCCCAGGGCTTGTGGGGAAGAGGCCCTTGTGCCCATCGGCACGGGGACAAGGTATTTTAATGGAGTCCCTCCTAACATTCCCACACATCCCAATGGAAGCTGAGACCCCCCATGCATCACTGCACCAAAACAGGGATCCCTTGTGTGTTTCTGTGCTTTTAAGGAGGCTGGGTGTCCTCCTGACAAACCTGCACCCAATTTGAAATCTTCTGCCTCCATGTGCTCCAAGATGGAGACTCTCATAGTTTAGAGTTAGGACCGCACTATAAGAGGTGCCTTGGTGCGGCAGTGCGGCTTTCACATCCTCTGCAGAAGACGTGTATCCAAACCTCTGTTATTATCCTATGTAAAACTAATTCGCAGAGCCGTTCACCCTACAAATCTTTCTGGATGTATGCGGGTAGATTGCAAAAACAAAAGGTTGGACTTTCGTACTGTAATACTGCATTTTGGGCCTCTGAGGATCACAGGAGAGAAGTATTTACTTCCTATGATCTTCAGCGCCACCTGGTGGCCACAAAGCGGTATGACATTAAATACAATTCATCCTATGCTCTTCAGCGCCATCTGGTGGCCATAAAGCGGTATGACGGTACACACCTGAAAAGAAAACATATCTAAGAACATGCGTCTATTCACAGGGAACGCACGTCCAGAAAGCTTCGTAGGGTGAGTTTGATATCATTAGACCCCTCTAAAATTACGGCATCTAAGCAGCACAAACGCACTCACTTGCTTTTCCAACGTTTGTGAAGAACAGACGCAGATCGTCCGTCAGATCTTCAGGAATAAATCGGTGGGCCAGTCCAGGCAATAGAATTCTGAAAGACATGACAAAAACCGAAACTTTGTTTTAATAAATAACTCTAGGCAGCACAATGTTAAAGTGAAAATCAAAAGAGGTTTTGGAAGTCGTATCTTTCTTAACAGCAAGTGAAGTATTTTTGGAAAGCAAAACTTTATCTCAAAACAAAAAAAAGTTCCTTTATTAAAGGCCTTGAGAAAGCGAAATTACCTGAAGGGGAGTTCCTCTACACACAGAAGGAAGCGCCTTCCGCTGCCGCCTAATCGCTCACTTCCCCTCCCGCATGTAAGGAAAGGGAGGGGGAGGTGCAGTGACATCATTGACCTTATATGGCTACGTGGCTGTATCTGGTCAATGACATTTACCTAATATGGTCATGTGGCCATATAAGGGCAATGATGTCACTGCAGCCCATCCCTTTGTTTATAATGAGCTGTAGGGCGTGGCATTGCCCTGGCCTGCAGTTGATTGGGTAAGGGGCCCCATGGCCCGCTGTAACGTCGGCACAATGAACCTATCATCAAACCCCCTCATGTATCACTGGCCCCTCCCCTTTTAGATTGTAATCTCCCATTGTCAGGGCCCTCCGTACCATCTCGTCTTGAAGTGTATTGTGATTGTAATGTCTTCCTTATATTGTAAAGCGCTGCCCAAACTGTTGGCGCTATATAAATCCTGTATAATAATAATAATAATTTGAATTGCCAGCGTGCCTTCATTGTTATACCCCAGGGTCGCATGTGTGACCAGGCACTGGAGTTCTGCTACTTGGGGGGTGGGGCCTGAAAAGGAAGAAGAGGGCCCAGCCCAGTAACCATCGAGGCACCGACATCAGTGGCGTCACAAGGGGGGCTCGCACCCGGGTGACACCATCGGAGGGGTGACACCAAAATGACTGACAGTCATTTTTGGTGCCACCCCCCTCTGAAATATCGGGCACTCGGTCAATGACCGAGAGCCCGACAGTTGCTCGAGAGAGAGAGAGGAGGGGACCCGGTGGCATACTTCATCCCACCGGATAACGTCCCCTCCTCTCTCTGCCAGCTTCAATCACCAAGATGGCCGCCGGCAGGTAAACCGCAGTACCGTGCGATGAGGTCACTGCGGGGTGTCACCCGGTACCCGCACCAGGTGTCACCCGGTACCCGCACCCTCAGGACGCACGTGTGGATACACACACATGCTCAACGTCTTCCGTGACGCATTCCATGGAGGTTGGGTGAAGGTGTCTGTGATACCAGTGTGGAGATAACTCCGGGGGGATGTTCCTACACTCATTAGACCTGAAGAAGTGGCTATGAAAGGTATTCAACATAACAGAACAGGTCCACATGAACGTGACCAACTACTACCGGCCATACCATGACCTAAATAAACGAGGACCTTCACAGGCAGACTTGCGATGTCCTAGATACAGATAATATATCAGTAACATTTCCCCACAGCAGGTCATTCAAGGAGCCGGCTTACCTTGGAAAGTCTCTGCTGTCAATGTAGACCATGGCACTCGACTCCGTGTTCTGGAAGCTTGTGAATTCTCCATTGGCTAATGGCAACAGCTGAAGGTTGAGTAGCTCCTGGTAACGTCCATCGCTGATGGCATACTTCAGGAGCGCCATTTTGTTTTCACGCGGGACCCCGTGCCAGCCGTCTTTGCGCAAGGACTGCCTCACCAGCGAAGGAGAAACGCTCTTCAGCTCTGCGGCTAGTTGGAGAGTCGAATAGACATGTCTGGGGACCTTCACAAGTGTAACCCCCAACAGCAGGAGCACCTTCTCCAAGCACGCACGGATTTTTGAGTCTTCCAAATCCCTTTCCAGTAGGAAAACGGCTTCGGAGGCCGTTATCCATCGGGATTGGTCAACCATCTGGAACACTCTTTCCTTCACCAGGCTTTCTGCCATTTGTCTTGTGAGATTATGCCATACACGTTTGTGTTGAGTCTTTTCTGGGTCTGGCCAGATGCTGTAGGTCACATCTGCCGAAATTTTTGACGACTTGACCAAAGACACCGTATTACGGACCGCATGTGTGTACAATAGAGGCAGGACTTGTTCCACCAGAATATGGTTCCACTTGGCAGCCTCGTCGTGTTGCTGGTCTACTTCTGGCCACTTCAGGCTTCTCCTGTCATCGGTGAGGTCAAAACAACCATTGATGACCAACGGTAGGCCCGTCCTGTTCTCCTCCTTGTCCGGAAGGGGCAAGACGCAACTCAAGCGGCCGCCATACAAGTCCATGCAAGCCTCAGATAAGGGATAGGCTAAGTCGAGCGCGGGTTTGTTGCAGAGCTTGTTGCTCAGCTCTGTCAATTCCGGAAACATGTTTCCTTGAATGGTGGTAGAAGTCACCAACCACTTGCTGTCTTCTTGTTCTCCTCCAAAACGGTTCAGAGAAGTAACTTTAATGTGGGTCTTGATGTCAAGGTCAGCTGACTCGCTCCCAAATGTCTCCTCAGTGGACACTTCAACAGTAAGCAGAGTGGTCAACGCTCCAACGCTGTCAATATTCTTGAGAGATACTCTAGTAACATGGCGCAGGAAGAGGAGGCTGATGCTCGCGTCCCTGATGAAAGACTCAAAGAGCTCCTGAACCCTCCCAGAGTCGTAAATGTTCTCGGAAATTTCGGAAGGGTCAAGGCGAAGAGGGAAGCGGAAGAGAGTCCCATTGAAGTGGCCAGAGTCCAGAATCTCCTCCCAGTCGCCTAGGCCGAGAGCCTCCAGGGCTTCCTGGAAAGGCTGGAACTGGTCTGAAAGTCTGTCTACATCTTCTCTTCCTTTCTCCAAGTTCCACCGACGTCCTCCTCTGTGAAAAATCTCTTCCTGCGGATCCAGAAACCCGATGTTTGTGCCGCTGAAGATTGCCGGGAAATCTGTGTATTCGGGGAGAGAGAGGTTTGAGGACTTAAGGAGATACAATGTGGCCATCAAGAGTAAAGAAGTCCTGATAGCATCTGTACCCAAGCACCCTCTGTACCAAAAAAAACACCCTGCGTACCCAAACACCCTGCGTACCCAAACACCCTACGTACCCAAACACCCTACGTACCCAAACACCCTCCATACCAAAGCACCCTCCGTACCCAAGCACCCTCCCTACCCAAGCACCCTCCCTACCCAAGCACGCTCCGTACCCAAGCACCCTCCGTACCCAAGCACCCTCCGTACCCAAGCACCCTCCGTACCCAAACACCCTCCGTACCCAAACACCCTCCGTACCCAAACACCCTCCGTACCCAAGCACCCTCCGTACCCAAGCACCCTCCGTACCCAAAGCACCCTCCGTACCCAAGCACCCTCCGTACCCAAACACGCTCCTCCCCACTTCACAGCAGATGAGAACCTAAAGGACCGCCCAGCCCCGAGAAGAGGCGAAGGGACCCTCTCACATCACATGACCATTCTGAAGACTTCAACCTATGGACTTTTCTTGACCCTTTCAGGCTACAAAATGACCCTTCACTGACCTGTAATGTGGTAGACGGAGTTGAACCCGAGTCCAAATCTTCCAACGGTGTCGGGATCTTTGCGCTTGACGCTGTTTCCAGGTCTCTGGATCCCGTCCCAATCTTGGTCGCTGAAGATCTCGTTGTTGTAGGCCAGAAGAGCCGGGCCTGAGGGGGGGGGAACCGTAAAGGGAAATGAGGATGAAAGGCAATCGCAAAATTACCTGAAGCAGAGTTCCTCTACACACCGAAGGAAGCGCCTTCCGCTGCCGCCCAATCGCTTAATTCCCAGTGACATCAGTGACCTTATATGGCTACGTGGCTGTATCTGGCCAATGACATTTACCTAATATGATCATGTGGCCATATAAGGGCAATGATGTCACTGCAGCCCATCCCTTTGTTTATAATGAGCAGTCCGGTGGGGGAATGCCCTGGCCTGCAGCTTATTGGGTGGGTGACTCCAATGGCATTTCCGGTTTTGGAGGAGCTCACCCTACCTGTACTCTAACACTTAACCCTCACCTCACCTGTACCCCAACACATAACCTTCACCTCATCTGTACCCCACCACATAACCTTCACCTCACCTGTACCCCACCACATAACCTTCACCGCACCTGTACCCCAACACATAACCTTCACCGCACCTGTACCCCAACACATAACCTTCACCGCAACTGTACCCCAACACATAACCTTCACCGCAACTGTACCCCAACACATAACCTTCACCGCAACTGTACCCCAACACATAACCTTCACCGCAACTGTACCCCAACACATAACCTTCACCGCAACTGTACCCCACCACATAACCTTCACCGCACCTGTACCCCAACACATAACCTTCACCGCACCTGTACCCCACCACATAACCTTCACCGCAACTGTACCCCAACACATAACCTTCACCTCACCTGTACCTTCACCTCACCTGTACCCCACCACATAACCTTCACCGCACCTGTACCCCAACACATAACCTTCACCGCAACTGTACCCCAACACATAACCTTCACCGCAACTGTACCCCAACATATAACCCTCCCCCTGTACCCCAACACTTAACCCTCACCTGTACCCCAACACTTAACCCTCCCCTGTACCCGAACACTTAACCCTCCCCCCCTGTACCCCAACACTTAACCCTCCCCTGTATCCTAAAACTTAACATTCACCTCCCCCCGCCCCCAAAAGAGGTCCTATGATGTTTCACCTTGGACGATATGGAGGTCCTCGGAGTGCAAGCTCTCCGTCCCATATTGTCTTTCATCGTAAGCAAAGATGACTTCCGTGGCTTTGGCATCGTCCGCGTTCTGAATCAGTTCCTGAAAGAAGTGAGAACCCGAAGTTATAAGACCTGGAACCGGAACCCGGAACCCGGAACCGGAACACGGCGGATCGGCTTTTATACGGCCATAGAAATCAATCATATCAGAAACACCCAGATAGCTATATATATATATATATATATACACTAGGGCTGGGAAATCAACTATTCATTCCTCGATTAATCGTTAAAGTTTTTTATCGAAAATGAAAACACTCCCCTCTCCGCCGGCTTTCGGGAGTCCCGTCGGTGATCCGGTGACATCACGGACATCGACATCACTGGACTCCTCCCCCCTTACCCAAGCGGCTCCGTCGGCTGACAAAGGGAAGGGGGGAGGAGTCTGGTGACGTCAATGTCCGTTTCGTCACCTGACTCTTCCCGATCCAACCTGTACCCCAACACTTACCCCTGATCCAACCTGTACCCCAACCCTTACCCCTGATCCAACCTGTACCCCAACACTTACCCCTGATCCAACCTGTACCCCAACCCTTACCCCTGATCCAACCTGTACCCCAACACCTACCCGTGATCCAACTTTGTACCCCAACACTTACCCCTGATCCAACCTGTCCCCCAACCCTTCCCCCTGATCCAACCTGTACCTCAACCCTTACCCCTGATCCCACCTGTACCCCAACACTTACCCCTGATCCCACCTGTACCCCAACACTTACCCCTGATCCCACCTGTACCCCAACACTTACCCCTGATCCCACCTGTACCCCAACACTTACCCCTGATCCCACCTGTACCCCAACACTTACCCCTGATCCCACCTGTACCCCAACACTTACCCCTGATCCCACCTGTACCCCAACACTTACCCCTGATCCCACCTGTACCCCAACACTTACCCCTGATCCCACCTGTACCCCAACACTTACCCCTGATCCCACCTGTACCCCAACACTTACCCCTGATCCCACCTGTACCCCAACACTTACCCCTGATCCCACCTGTACCCCAACACTTACCCCTGATCCCACCTGTACCCCAACACTTACCCCTGATCCCACCTGTACCCCAACACTTACCCCTGATCCCACCTGTACCCCAACACTTACCCCTGATCCCACCTGTACCCCAACACTTACCCCTGATCCCACCTGTACCCCAACACTTACCCCTGATCCCACCTGTACCCCAACACTTACCCCTGATCCCACCTGTACCCCAACACTTACCCCTGATCCCACCTGTACCCCAACACTTACCCCTGATCCCACCTGTACCCCAACACTTACCCCTGATCCCACCTGTACCCCAACACTTACCCCTGATCCCACCTGTACCCCAACACTTACCCCTGATCCCACCTGTACCCCAACACTTACCCCTGATCCCACCTGTACCCCAACACTTACCCCTGATCCCACCTGTACCCCAACACTTACCCCTGATCCCACCTGTACCCCAACACTTACCCCTGATCCCACCTGTACCCCAACACTTACCCCTGATCCCACCTGTACCCCAACACTTACCCCTGATCCCACCTGTACCCCAACACTTACCCCTGATCCCACCTGTACCCCAACACTTACCCCTGATCCCACCTGTACCCCAACACTTACCCCTGATCCCACCTGTACCCCAACACTTACCCCTGATCCCACCTGTACCCCAACACTTACCCCTGATCCCACCTGTACCCCAACACTTACCCCTGATCCCACCTGTACCCCAACACTTACCCCTGATCCCACCTGTACCCCAACACTTACCCCTGATCCCACCTGTACCCCAACACTTACCCCTGATCCCACCTGTACCCCAACACTTACCCCTGATCCCACCTGTACCCCAACACTTACCCCTGATCCCACCTGTACCCCAACACTTACCCCTGATCCCACCTGTACCCCAACACTTACCCCTGATCCCACCTGTACCCCAACACTTACCCCTGATCCCACCTGTACCCCAACACTTACCCCTGATCCCACCTGTACCCCAACACTTACCCCTGATCCCACCTGTACCCCAACACTTACCCCTGATCCCACCTGTACCCCAACACTTACCCCTGATCCCACCTGTACCCCAACACTTACCCCTGATCCCACCTGTACCCCAACACTTACCCCTGATCCCACCTGTACCCCAACACTTACCCCTGATCCCACCTGTACCCCAACACTTACCCCTGATCCCACCTGTACCCCAACACTTACCCCTGATCCCACCTGTACCCCAACACTTACCCCTGATCCCACCTGTACCCCAACACTTACCCCTGATCCCACCTGTACCCCAACACTTACCCCTGATCCCACCTGTACCCCAACACTTACCCCTGATCCCACCTGTACCCCAACACTTACCCCTGATCCCACCTGTACCCCAACACTTACCCCTGATCCCACCTGTACCCCAACACTTACCCCTGATCCCACCTGTACCCCAACACTTACCCCTGATCCCACCTGTACCCCAACACTTACCCCTGATCCCACCTGTACCCCAACACTTACCCCTGATCCCACCTGTACCCCAACACTTACCCCTGATCCCACCTGTACCCCAACACTTACCCCTGATCCCACCTGTACCCCAACACTTACCCCTGATCCAACCTGTCCCCCAACCCTTACCCCCTGATCCAACCTGTACCCCAACCCTTACCCCTGGCACCACCTGTAGCCCAAAACCTAATCCTCCCCCCGCCTGTACCCTCACACAGGAAGTGACCACAACAAAGCCCGTTCTCCGGTATAATGTGGGAAGTGTTAGAACCTCTGGCAGCTTTCTTATGACCGCCTATCCCTCCATCCATATCCTGGTGTCACAGGGACAGGAAGTGAGGGGAAATCTCCTGAATGGGGACACAGACATCAATGGCTGGCGATGGGCTCCACACACACAGCTGGATCACTTACTTTAAGGATCTGTCCTCCGTCCGGGTATTTCCGCAGAATATTCTGCAGCTGGATGAGGAAGGGCGGAGCTCTCTGGAAGAAATCTGCGGAGGAATTCGGGGGATCAATCAATCGGAACTCCTCACAATGTACACAAACCCCTCCCCCCCCCACCGCGGGCTCCGGGGAGGGACTGCGCCCAGGCCGAGATGATGTCATCAGTCTGCTGCAGGCAGCAGGAAGCATTTCCCCAGTCACCCCTCCCCCAGGGATCAGTCTGCTGCAGGCAGGAGGAAGCATTTCCCCAGTCACCCCTCCCCCAGTGATCAGTCTGCTGCAGGCAGGAGGAAGCATTTCCCCAGTCACCCCTCCCCCAGTGATCAGTCTGCTGCAGGCAGGAGGAAGCATTTTCTCAGTCTTCCCTCCCCCAGTGATCAGTCTGCTGCAGGCAGGAGGAAGCATTTCCTCAGTCTCCCCTCCCCCCCAGTGATCAGTCTGCTGCAGGCAGGAGGAAGCATTCCCCCGTCAGAAGGGGCGGGGCGCGGCGGGGCGCAGTGACATCATTCACCTCACGCGGCTATACTTGTGCGATGACAGTTACCTAACGCGGCCATATCGGGTGAATGATGTCAGCACAAGCGCCCCGCCCCCTTTGTGAATGTGCCGCCGCAGGGCAGGGAATTCCCCAGCCGCAGCTGACGGAGCAGGTGGCCCCCCCGGCACTTCCGCGCTCGGGGGAATTCGGGTTCGGTCTGGACTGGTGCAGGGACGGAGCGATGGAACTAGGAATGAGGAAAACCTGGGGTGCGAAGAGGAGATCACCCAGAACTGGATCACGGCATGCCAAAGCGATCCGCAGAACAAAGGGGCACGGCATGCCAAAGCGATCCCCCAGATCCGGATATACCGGCAATAAACATGTCCGCCTCTGCGTGTAATACAGAAAGAACGCTCACCCATCTGTTATCCGACGTCCGGAGGATTTCTTGTGTTTGCTGAAAAGGCAAAAAAATAAAAGAAATTAAAGCGGAACTCCGGGGAGGAGGAGACACAGATCTCGGTATACATTCCATGTATTGTGCACACACAAGCAGCAGCGAAAGTACCTGACCCGTCCCTGTACAGCAGAGCTCAGACTAGGGAAGAGGGAAGCAGCGCGGAGAGACAATCAGTTGTGCTGCATCGCTCACGTGG